CAATTTTTGGTAACAAATTTTCTTTTTTTTCTTCTTTAATGGTGATAAGTTATATTCTGGGGAATTTGGAGTGGGAAGCAAAGGAAATTTTTTGGGGTGCTAGAAAGAGTTTGTTTTTTTTATTTTGAGCTTTAAATTTTGACTGTAAATATTTGGAATTGGAGATTCGAAGGGAGAAATTTTGAGTTTCATTAAGAAATTTTTATACAATATCAAATAAATTAGGAATATTGTAAAAGATCAATTTTTTTAACACATTTTTTTTTCTTCAATTTTTTACTCAAAGTTAAAATTTGAAACTTTTGGAATTTTTATTTATGTTTTTTTTCCTTAGAAAAAAATATTTTTTTTTATTTTTGACTCAAATTTGGACTAAAAAATGCCAAGTTCAAATTGATAAAAATTTGATTTCAAATTGATTTTTTGGTTTGAATTTTTCTGTTATTTTTTTTTGTATCAAAAATTTAAATGAAAATTTTTTTTTTGTGTGACATTTAACTAAAAAAATTAAAGGTATGAAAAAATTGATCAAAAAAATCTTTCTCACAACTTTTTGTAAATGTCACCTCCAATTAAGCCTCCAAATTTTCCAAATACCTCTCAGCTTAATTAACCCATCTAAACTCCACTAAAACCGTCAGCAATTCAAAATACTCTTGAAGATTCCCCTAAAATCTCAGAATTAAATCCAAAAATTCGCCTCCACTAACTCACTGGCGTGTAATAAATGTCAGAGAGTTGGTCGTCGGCGTGCGTGCCTGGTTATTTCCGTCTACTCTTCACCTTTCCGCGTACATCAGTTATTTTGCGCTTAAAGAGCAAAAAGAAGTAAATAAATTCAAGCGTATACACAATAATATACACAGATATTAATACATAAATACAAAAACATACACCCAACATTAACGATTAAGTGCCCGGGCGTAGAGAAAATAATAAAAGGTGTATTTACAGTTAGTAGCAAACATTGTTGACATTCGCCTCTATTCCTTGAAAACAAGCTCGACAAGATACAAGAGACAGTTGCCGGATGACGGATGGCATACTTGACGATCAGAAGAAAGAATCAGCCCGAATTGTAAACTAATTTTATTTAATAATAATTATGATTGTGATAAATGTCGGTTTGAAAAGCCCGAGAGATGTGGATGTAAGATGAAAGATGCGTATGGGAGATATCGCCAAGCAGATGGTAAATTTCATACTTAAGCGATAGAAGATGTTGATGTCGGGGTTGTCGTTAATGCTGACGTATTCGTAGATCTTTCCGATGCGATGGACATCGTTATGTTGAAAAGCAACTAAATGAACTACAACTACAACTTACAACTACAGACGTAGTTTGTAAGAAGGAGAGAAGAAAAGCCGAGATGAGAGCTATTTTTACGAGTTAGAGTTAGAGTATCTCAAGTTGACGACTGTAGTAACACGTTGAAGCACTTGAGCAACACTCAAGAGCGCATTCCTCTGTTTCTGAATCGTGCTCTACGTCTATTCCATGCGTGGTTACGTCGAACACACGCTCAAATAAAAAAAACCAGACGAAGACTGCTCGCCGATAAGACACATCATGATAATAATAATAATAATAATAATAATAATAATAATAATGGAGGACTGAGTTTTAGTGAAGAACCACTTCAGCTCGACTTCTTCCAATTCCATCTTCCATCCCTCTTATGTCTTTCGCCTGCTGTCGGCTCATTTAATGCGACGTCCAAATAAATCTCAAGTGAATCTTAGTTTTTATTTTTAATAGTTTTTTACCGTTTGAATACATACAAGAATATTTTATTCATCCAAAGTAACAAATTTACAATTTTTTAAAAATAAATCCGGCCTTTTTTAATAATCAAATTCTTTTATATAAATAATAGAAATACAAAATTTTGATTACTGACATCAACAATTAATATTAATTACAAAGTTTAGTACAAATTCATTTAAAGAGACAATTATCTCGGTATTTATAATTACAATTTTAATTAAATTAAATTTGTCCGCTAAAGTATAAAAAAGATGATTTTTTTTGTGGGTTAGTGTGAGATTGATTTTATTCGGCAGTGATTTTTTATGGTTTGTTTATGAGATGAGAGCAGTTTTTTTTTTGAGTCGCTTCTGAGTAATGTTATATTATATATTTTGTGTATAAGAGCTTTTTATATAATATGTAATGGCAGTTTTAGGGGAGACCGAGGCACGAAGGTCCCCTGAGATTAATTATTTCTTGAGGCTTTCGAGCACCGGATACAAATTGTCTCGGGCTATTTCAACAAATTCAACATCACTTTTTGATAATGTCATTTAAAGAGCTTTTTTTCTAGGAACCACAGCTCCCCTAACTAAATTTTATGTTTTTTTTTTTTAGTGTTTTAATTATCTGTACGGGTGTTTTTTACTCGTTTCGGAGAATCTTTAATAAGCTATCAATAGTTTTTTTTTATTTTTTTTAACTTGATAAAAAAAACTTGATTTCTTTTTTTTAAAAATAAAATTCATACGTTTAAAAATTTTTTTAATAAAAAAAATTTTTCGGAACTTTCATGCCGCGATTTTTCTAAAAAAAAAAAATTACTAAATTGTTTCACACAAACTCAAAAAATGTATATAAAAAATCCAGAAATAGTTGTCATAATTTTACAAAAAAAAATTAAATTAATATTTGCGTCTATTATTTTTTACTCGTTTCGGAGAATTTTTTATAAGCTGTCAATAGATTTTTTTAACTAAAAAAAAACTCTATTTTTTTTTAAATAAAATTCAAACATTAAAAAAATTTCAATAAAAAAAATTTTTGGGAACTTTCATGCCCCGATTTTTCTAAAAAAAAATTATTAAATTGTTTAATACAAACTCAAAAAACGGCCATAAAAAATCTACAAGTAGTTGACATACTTTACAAAAAAAAATTAAATTAATATTTACGTATATCGTGTATATATATAAAAAAAAAAAAGAACTAATAAATTTGGCACAATCCGCTTTTTATAACTCAGTTGCGTACTTAAACGGAAAAACCGCGGCTTACAAATGACTGGCCATCTGTCTTCAGTCTGCATTAATAAAAATGTTTAATATAACTTTATCTTTTATTTACCATTTATCATCCATTAATATTATATATGTACACATATTTTATACTTCATATATATCCATCATCTAAACGTTATCATATATACTTATACTTAATATATAATTTTCCTCAATTTAATTATCAATAATATTTAATTTTCTATTTTATTACTACAAAAGTTGGTATCGTTGCGATTCGTCGTTCAAATTTAATATATATTTATCTCTATATATATATATCCATTCAATATTTCATATATCCATTTATAATATTTACTTTTTTAATATATATTTATATTTATATTCAATATTTATAATTTTCGCTTTCTAATATTAAATTCGATGGTTTATTTACAAGGGAATTAATGAGACAATTATTTACTAAATTAAATCCTCAAATATTATTTTTTTTTTTTTTTTTATATTAAAAGAGACCGAGAATTTTCTTTTTTTTTAGCAAAGAGGGAGATGGCAAGCAAGCAAGATGAGATCGAGTGCGTACGCACCGTTTTTAAGGCAATGTTTTTCGATAGACCCCATCGGAATTTAATATTATCTTTTTATATTTATTTTAATTCCATTTGGCACGTGTTATCTCACACGAGTTTTAAATTTTTCGTTACTCGTTTTATTTTTATTTTCATTTCTCCTTTTTTTGTTCGCTTTAATTTATTTCGTTTAGTACGGCGTTTAATCTCCCTCGCTTTAATCCTTTTTTGCTTATTCATTTTTTTTTCTCTACTAGTATAGTTTTTATCATTAATGTAATTACTATTATTGTTATTATTGTTAATAATAGTACAATATTTTTATTTTTATTTTTATTATTACTACTATACCGCTATCACTATACTTTACTTAATCGCTTTTGTTTAATTGGCACGGTGCGAGCTATCTATCGGAATGCGCCGCTGCAGGTTATAAATTTTACATTAAACATTATTTATTATTCTATTTGTAGTTTGTAATGGATAAAAGCTCGAAAGAGGAAAAAAAAATTTTTTTTTGCTAAAAAAATTTGGTAATTATTTACAAGTGGGGTCTACTATTTTCATTTTCCGTTTTTTTTAACAAAATTTCTATTTGATTTTATTGATATATTTTTTTTGAAAAATATATAAAAAAATGAACAAATTAAAAAAAAAAATTTATAAATTTTTTAGAAGATTGTGATATTAATTTTTTTTTAATAATAATATTATCCAAATAAATAAAAAATTAATAATTTCTTTGTAAAATATTTTTGTTATTATTTGGAGCAAGTAAAAAATATTACAATTAATTTTACGAATATTTTCAACAATTATTTGCATTTTACTTTGTTAAAAATATATTTTTAACAAAATATTTTTTTTAGTGTTTAATTTATAAATTTATTATTATTAATTAATAAATTTTTGAAAGAAAAATACTTGATTAAAAAGAATTTTAATTTTAATCATTGAATAATTGAAATAAAAAATTCGGTAAATATTTACAAGTGTTTTTAACAAATTTTTTAAAAAATTTATAAATTTTTTAGAAAATTGTGATATTAAATTTTTTTTTAATTGTTCGTTTTTTTATGTATTTTTCAAAAAAAAAAAATATATTAAAATAAAAAATAAAATAGAAATTTTATCCAAAATTTTTTTTTTTTTTTCACATTTTTTATCATAAATGCGCCGTAAAAATAAGTAGAATAAAAAATATTAATAAATGTCAATTTTTCACCTAAATATGGCCAAAAATAGGTTGGACCTCATTTTTAAATACTTACCAAATTTTTTTTTTTTTTTTTTTCAGTAAAAATTGTTTTTTTTTCTGTAAAAAAATTATTTTTGTTCTTGATAAAAAAGGCAGATAATTAAAAGTAAGTGGATAAAAAAATAGTAATAATAATAAAATAAATGTAAGTATAATCTAAAACAGTCTATTGGCGTCTAGGTCTAGAGCCAGGCTCCCAATTGTGCTTCGAGGATAGTCGCCGCGTCGGTTCTTCCCATTGTACGTAAATGGTTAAGTAGATCGGTAACTGCGCTTGCCTCGCGATGTCGTGCCTCCCAAAGATCCAGAATGTGCTCCGTGGGGCTGGCTTTTGTGGCGAAGTAATTGATGTATCTATGGGACAGACAAACCTCGAGTAAAGGAACTTACTTTTTAATCTGGTATTTGTCAATGCCAACAAAATAACAGAGTCATATTTTTTGCGGAGATTAAAAGATAAAAGATTGTGTTTTTTTGTCCTTTTTTTTGCTGGGGGTCTAAGAAAAGAAATTTATTGTTGGGAAATTTTGATGAAAGATATGGAAACAATATGAAAATAATTTAAATATCATTTTTTAAGTTTCTTTGTTGGGATAAAAAAATTTGACGGGTTTATTATTTTGTAAAGGTGGGAACAACTATCGAAAGTTTTAGAGGGGAATTAAAATTGAGAAGAAATTTAATAGTATATTAGATTAGATAGATTTTTTATGACTTCTCTGAGAAGAAACTTTGTTCGGAAAAAATCGTAAAATCTCAGCTTGAGGCGGGAAGGTCGTTTTATTATTGAAATGTGAACTAATTTCTTTGTGATAAGATGAAAGAATTTTTTTTTTAGCTGCTGTTGAAGATATATAGGGTGTTAAATTCTTCTGAAGAAAGATTGGGTCTTTTATGTCGTACATTTGACATGCATCATAATAAAAAAATTAGGATGCTTTTATCACTTTAAGAAAATTTGAGATAATTTTTTTTAAGTATTTTGTTTCATACAAAAAAATTGGAATGGTTTGTAATGTAAATTTTTGAACTTTTTTTAACACGCTTGTGGCTTTTTTAAAAAAATTTTGAAGCCTTACAAGTACTTTGTCACTGAATTTGAATAAAAAATTAGTTCTTAGGCTTTCAAATGCTTCTCTTTGTCTTGAAGTCTGTTTTAATGACAAAGTAAGAATTTGATTAATCTTTTGAAGACTCGAAAGTGTTTAGATAAGAAAACTCAGATTTAATGGTTCAAAAATTGTATCTTGGTTGAAAACATATGTTTCGATCAAAAAGATGATTAATTGTTTTTTGTAAAGAAGAAAAGACTTTCTTGTCTAAATAAATCATTTTGATGGATAATTTTTTAACTAGATACTTTTAATTTGAAATAAATGGAATGTAAAGTGTCACAAAAAAGAAGTCGCTACCAAATTGATTACCACTCAAGACAAAAAAAAATTAATTAAAATTTCTTCCAATATAATTTTAATAATGACTTTTCTTCTTCAAATTTTTTTTTTATATTTGAAAGTAGAGTTAAACTTGATTTTTTATCTTTCAAAAATTGTTCTATAAAATTTATTTCTTCAAAAATTAGTTCTGCATTTAACAAATAAATTTTTGATCCTTTTAATAATAATAATACATTGATAAAAAAATTACTTTGATTCAAAAGAAGAAATCTTAAACCAAAAAAATAACTTTTAAGAATTTCTTTGTCTAAAATTACACAAAAAAGTTTTTCGGAACGAAGAATTTACTTTTTTTTTTTTTCATTTTATTGAACTTTCAATCTTTCTTAAAAAAAAGTTTTTTACTACATAATTTTTATACTCTTTGTTTCAAAAATTTAAGATTTTACCACCTTAATTTTTAAAAATTAGCTCAAAATTTCTTCTCTTAAGAAAACTTAATTATCTATCGAAGAGCGAAGCGTTTTTTTCGAAATTTTATCTTATTCGTGACCAAAACACGTTTGAAAATTAAATATCAACTGTACTAAATTAATTTTTTTATCAATGCACAAAAAAAAAATTAATTTGAAAAATTGTTGAACCAAGAAAATAATTTTGAAGATTTTATCGTCTTAAATCAAGACCAAAAATTCTTAAATTAATAAGAATTAATTTGAATTGCAAAAAATTTCTTAATTTAACAATTATTTCTACTCAAATCAAAAACATAAAGTTCTCCAAAATAATTTCCTTGATTAAAAAATTTTTTTTTGTGTGTAAAAATCAAAAGCCTATTAAAACCTCATTTCTCTCCAAGGAATGTAAATTTTACCCAGCATTACAAACAAAACCAAAAAAACAAAGTGTCTTAAGCAAAAAAAAACCAACCTGTCAACTTGTAGTCTCTGAGCGAGCATTCTCCAGTCATTGCCGAGTGCGTTGGGCGGGTCGAGGCACTGGCAGAGTTGTTTCCTGAGGGATCTGGTGAACCTGAAAGGCCCGCGGGCAGAGGAGTCCGTAGACGTAATATTATTGGCACCAACACTGCTAACGACGGTAACTTCCCTGAGCGGGCGAGTAACACTACCCGAAAAGACCCGTTGCTTAATCACGTCGTAGACGATGCGAAATACCTGCCTCTGGGCATCGGAGGTCCGGCCTTGGCATACCTGGAGCTTGTAGCTCTTGGTGGTCGTAACCGCATCGAAACTCTCATCAAGAGTGAACGCGACATGACTCGAATTGCTGGGACAGTTCCAGACATCAGCGAACGCGATTTCCTGGTGCTCTGTCGGGGACTTGCTCTGCCACTCGTTGCCGACCTGCTCAAGGCTGACCCAGAGATTTTCCCCGCTGTCGCGGAAGAGGAGAGGCCGCGGCTTGTCAAGGAGGTATCCGCGAATTTGCGCCTCGCGGTCGGCGATTATCTTTATCGCGGCCTTAGTGTCCTCGATCACGTAGACCCGGACGCAATATTGGCTCGCGTAGAGCAGGACCCGGAGTCTCTTGGCGGCGATCGCGTCTTCCGCGCTGGACCCGACTAGGACGTAGCTCCGGAGCTGCTCGGTGACGATAAAAGCTTCAGAGTGGTCCAGCTGGGTGAACAGCGGCGTGTTTATCGTCTCGCTGCCCAGCGTGAGGACTTTTGTCCAGGTGACTGGGCTGAGCTTGTCCAGGCTGGAGTCCCCGCTGGACGTATGGTGCGGGTGCATCAGCTTGCTGTCCTGGGCCGTCTCCTCCTCGTCAGCTGGCCCGTCAGGCTGGTCGTCAGACGCCCAGACGCTCAGTTCCCACGTACCCGCGGGGTGCAACATCGCTGCGTGCTCAAACTGGAGGATCACCGGCTTGTCGAACGCGACAGCAGGTGGCCCGCAGTAGATCGCTGCCGATAGTTGAGTCATGCCCTCTGGGAACAGTTTTTAATTGCGTTTAAGGTTATTATTCCTGCACGAGGATGATTCAAGAGTAATTGGAAGGGAATAATTGTTTTTTGTCGAGGGGTTCATCGAGATTTTGGGGAAGCGGATGATAACTATTGAGATTTTGGTTTTTAATAAAGGAAATTTTTATAGACGGTCTAATGGAGTTTTTATCGAGTTTAATGGGGGTTTTTTAAATATAAATTTTTTAGTAAAAAAAATACTTTAATTTTAGGAGAGTAGAATTTTGAATATTAAACTGGTTATAATTTTTTAATACACAGAAAAAAATTTATTTGAATCAAGTAAATAATTTTGAAGAACTTCATTTTTTTGATTTGAGCAGAAAAATGTTTAAACTAAGAAATTTTTCTTGGTTTAGTAAATTTTACTTAAATCAAGAATTTTTTGTCTTGATACAAGATAATGAAACTTTTAAAAATTATTTTCTGGGTTTAAGAATTTTTCTCTTGATTCAATTTAATTTTTTTTTCTGTGCAGATGATTTAGAATTTTGATACTGATTGTTTTAAGAAAGTTTGAAGGAGAATACATATTATTTTTAATTTATTAACGGGTTACTGAAAATATCGACTCATATATCGATACAGCCATTCTAATACGTCGTATCCCACATTTAGAAAATTTGGTACCGCGACAAAATAATATCCTCAGTGTTAGTCTAGTTTCGAATAAACACACACAAAATCCATGATAAAAGGGCACAACACGGTCATAAGCTTATGTGTTGTGATATTTTGTCTAAAGAAGATCTTGTCGGGGGATATTTTGTCGCGGAATCAGAAAATTTTACAGAAGACGGTACAAACGATTCATTTTTAACATTGAACAAATGGGATTCGACAGATGAATATATTTATTTAATTATTTGACCTTTAAAATTTCAATATGACTTGCATAATATTGTTAGATTTAATTTTTCAAAAAAAAATCAATTTGTCAAATTTTGTGGGATACGACGTATTAGAATAGCAGTATTGATTTATTATTTTTGTTTTAAGCTAATAATTATTTAACGCACTTATATTTGATAATTTATCATCATATCTACTAATTTTCAATCATTATTCTCTTTAAAATCATTATGTAAAGTTTTGGTTACAAAGTAGGAAAATTTTAGTAAATTTTGATATAATAATTTTTGGTTTCTTTAAACAATTAATAAGATTTCTGATGAAAATATTTAAAGATAATTTTTTTGAGTGTTAAAATCAGTGTTTTAAAAAATTACCAAAATTTCTATATTTAATACAATTTGATAAAAAAATAAATTTGATTAAAAAAAAAAGTGTTTTAAACCCAGCATAAAATTTCTCCAACCAAATAAAATTTACAAACCAATAAAATTATTTTAATTTAAGAACTTTTTTCCATAATTGAATAATCAAATTTTTCCTTTTGAACCAATACAAACTATTTTTTCTATCAGTGTCCAATAAAATTTAAAAACTCTTATTTATTTTCAATAAAAAAAACAAGTATGTTATCATTTACCACAAAAAAAAAATCAGGACACCGAAAAGTAAAAAGAAAACAACAATATTGACTCTTAAAAATGTCGAACAGCCGGAATCCAAATATTTATTTTCCAATTACTCACACCCGAGCGTATCAATATATAAATTAACCCATCGAAAGTAAACAAAAAAACTAAAAATCGGTCAAATAAAGAAGCCGAATAAAATCGATAAAAAATTCACTAAAAATAACAACAATAACAATAACAAAGATGAATAATATATTGTAGTATTAAATAAATTAGCATAACAATGGAGGTGATATTTACGATAAAAGGATGATCGGATTGTTAAAAAGAAAAGACGATGATGGATATGATGAATGAGTGAGTGACTTTCCGACAATGGGACTTGATAATTTGAATTTTATTACCGGCTTAAGCGACTACTAGCTCCGCTAATCATAAGTCATTATTCATTATTCAAAACATAATTACAGATAAAAAAGAAAAAAGTACCTGGCAATCTCGGGCGGAACCTGTCCTCGTCGAGAACAGATAGGTCGAGCTGTCGCCGTCCTTGGGCCTTGGAGATCGCGCCCTCCGGGACCGAGAGGGACACTCCGGAGTCCGGAAGGACCAGGAGGGCCCCCCGTGCGTTGACCGCGGCCCTCGCGACGTTGCCGGACTGCTCGAGCTTGGCCGCGGCGAGCCTCACGCGCTCCGAGGCGACGTTGTAGGTCGTCGTCGTCGAATCTGAGGACGGGTACGAGGAACTCCCGACGCTGGTCCCGCTGTTTTCACTCCCGGAGTAAATTTGCTTGTCGGCGTTCGCGGCCCCGCTGCAGGACTCCTGGCTGCTGAGGATGCTCGGGCTGGGCGATGACACTGACGGCGACGGATGCTGCTGCTGATGATGGTGTTGGTGTTGCTGCTGTTGCTGCTGTTGTTGTTGCTGGGCTATTGAAAGATGGGGCACGTCGTAGTGGTGCTCCGAGAGGGAGCGGGACAGAGATAGCTTCGGATCGAAGGGATACTCGTAGGAGGCTTGGACTGTTGTTCCTGCTGTTAGATCCGGCTGGAGACACATTTTCTTATCGTGTTCTGGAAAGTACTCCGGCTGGAAATCTTCATGCGCAAATACACATATGTGTTGTTAGTTTTTTTTTTTTTTTTTTTTTATTTTATTTTGTTTTATTGGGGTTTTATTTCTCGGTTTTGCTAAGCATAAACAACGGTGAATATAAATATATTATTCTACTATACTACCGCTGGCATGTTGGGATTGTCAGTAAGATAAAAGAATAAAAAATAGTACAACAACTCTGACATTTATATGTGACTCTGACGAACAAAAGATGTTGCTTTTTTAAACAGATAAACTTTTGAGCTTTTAAACGTCCGGCTTAAACTACACATTCTTCTATCTTTTATTTTATTCCCCCTTTTTTTTTTTATTTTACTTTGTTCTTTACTGGTGAGTACCCGCACTCACCTACACTCTACATTGTCAGTTTACTTTTACGATGATTGTCGGGAACTATGTTTCTTGGGAATAAATTTTTTATTTCAGAATTTATTTTATTGATCGACTGTATTGAAACTTTTCGATAGTAAAAATAAAATATATTCGGCAAATGGATATTTTTTTATAATAGATTTTTTAATATCAACTTTTTTGATTAACAACTTGAAATAAAAATTATTTATTTAAAAATATAATAATATCGTCCAATGTTCCCGATGTTACACTCATTAAGAGCTCTCATTTGAGTACCCACATGCATTTTCATATATTTTTCATATATACATATATATATATATATATATATATATATATATATATA